TTCAGAGGTTTAGGGGTTTCGGGATTCAAGGTTTCGGGGTTCAGGGCTTAGGGGAAGACGCTGCAAACCAAGAGAAAGCACAGGAGCCCCCTAAGCCAACCAGCTCTGCGAGATTTCGACTGAGTTGTAGGTGACCCCAAGAGCTTGAAAACTCAAAAGCCGCAAACCCCTCCTGCTTACCACCCATGAGCCCAGACACCCTAAACCCGGATCCCAGAACCTCTAAACCCTAAACCTTGAACCCCTACACCCTGAGCCCTCGACCCCCAGGATAGTGGAAGAGCTGACCTGGGCGCGGACGAGGAAAGGGGAGGGGGGTTACTGCTTTTGGACGGTGGGATCCAGAGCCGTTTACAGGTGCTTCGGCTCGTTTTTCAGGCTTTGGTAGCGCCAAACGCTCAGAGTTGACGGGAAGAGCGTCCCTTAGGAAGCATTGCGGTTCATGGCTGATCAGAGCCGAATGGATGACTTACATGTAAGTGAGGTGCTTGCCGATGAAGCCCCGCCTCGCAATTCGAAACCCTGAAGTCATGAACGATGCACGGCACGGCATTTACGGCCGAAGCCTCAAAGAGTTCAGGCTGTCCAGTTTGATGTTAGGTTGGGGTAAGCGTTTGCCGAAACGGCTAGGGGTTCAGAGTCTAAGGCCATTTCGGGCTTTTTGATGCAGAACTTTTTCTGCCGGAGTCCGGAGCCCGAGCGCCCGAAAGGTAGGCCGACGCCCTGAATCGCCCCAACTACCATGGAGATCCGAAATCCACCCTGGCGAACCCATAAGTCTTAAGCCAAGAATACTCAGCAACATCAAGAGCTGACCTCATTGCCCTCAACAGCATCACGAGATCCTAAGCCCTAAACTCCTAAGACCCCAAACGCTAAACTAAGCTCTGCGCCGCAGAAGCCCCAAGCTTTCGGCTGGAGGCCAGTCGAGCTCATTGATGCCCTACGAGAGCGGCTCAAGCATTACAAGGGCAAGGCAGCAAGGGCTTTTCAGGGCTCTTGCAGTTCCTTTTGGGCTTTTCCAGCTTCTTCTATCTAGGGTACACTTGTTCGGGTTTGTATTTGGGGGTTAACGGAGCTCAATGTTGAAGCCCTCTGAGAGAAGCGACCTGCCAAGCCGCAGGCCTTGTCAACCCGACCGGCCCTGCCGTGTCTTCTTTAGATTCCTGTCTTGGCACAGCGCGAACCCCAAACCTTGAGCCCGGAACCCAAGGGCCCCAAACCCCCTAAACCCTAAACCCTAAACTCCCTAAACCCAGTATGCTTGGTATAAAGTTAAAGTTGGACTATGGGGGGCCGCGGTTCTGCGGCTGCAGGATTGCTATCCACCAGAGCGCGCCGGCCAGTGCGTGGTGACCAAGGCAGGAGGTGGTTTTGAAGGGTTTCATTGGGGGTCTCGAAAAGCAAGGGGCTGGTTCGAGCTTGCAAAATCAAGACAGACTTGATCTTTCAATCAAGGCCATCGAAGGCGGGTGCTAGAAGCATAACCAAGATGAAACCAATACCATAGGGCAAGAGGGTTTGGAGTTGAGTTTCGTTTGCTTGTGAACTCTGGGTCGCTCCTGCACATATCCACCGTTTTTCTTTGTTCCTTTTTAAGGGTTCCTTTGTGAAGGGCTCCTTTTTAAAGAGCTCCTTATAAAAGGGATCCTTGAAGGGATCCCTTACGGTTCTCGGTTTTTCGTTGCTTTCGAGGGTTTTGGGGCTTCCGGCGGAGGCCTTCGACGTCGGAGCCCTCAAAGCTTTTAGGATGGCTTCGACTTCCCGAAGAACAGAACATCTGTGGAAGAATGGGCTGAAAGTATTGCTTACGCCTCCTTCTTAGGGTTCTAAGATGCTATAGAAGCCTGAAGAATTGGTTTCACTATTCCTCGGGCTGTGTTTCAGTATGTTTTCCAGCATAGTATACCCCCCCAAACCTATTCTACTGTAATGGTAGAGGCTCTATCACAAGCCCGAAACTGCAGGAAGGCGCGGCTGTCGTCCGAGAAGCCATCGACTATGTGACAAGCTTGGCGTCTTATCGGGATGGGGATTCACTGTGAAGGGGTTAGGGTTCATGGGCTTGCGATAGGGTTTGGGGTTCAGGTTGCAGGGTCAGAGTTTCAAGTCCTGCGGCAGCTAGGAAGTGGCGATGACGGATGGGCCTTGCGGTTTAAGGATGTGAGTCAATCCCCGGAGCTGCGAGCTTTAAGAGTCGCCACGCCTTCGCGGCCAAACACTTCCCCAAATTCCGAAATCCCTTCAACCCCCCAACTCCTTTTTTTGCACGGCAGCAAAGGAAACCTTGGGGGGTGTTGGGACGGCATCGCAGCCAGGCATGCACCGCTACCGGGGAGGGGGCAGGATTTATGATGTCAGGGGGGTTGAGGTTGATTGGACCGTGCAAGGTTTAGGGTTCAGGATGTGATGTCACTATAATCAGAGTACCCACGGGTTTAGGGTTTGCACTGCATCATGTAGTATAGAACATTATTCCGTGAGTTTCACGTTGTGTGATGATATAATGTAGACCTGCTCCAAGCATAAAGGCCGCTATATTTTGCGTTGTGCTAGATTCCAGAAAGAACACACCACTTCCTAGCGCACCATCATGCGCTTGTAGTACTGCACGGTCTAGTACAAGGAAGTTACAACGGGAAACTTTTCAGGAGCACCATCTATAAGGAACCGAGAGACCTGTCTAAGAGCATGTTACGAAGGCCTGGCGATGGCCGGTGAAGATCACGTGCATGATATCGGCAGCCTGGCATTTTAGAAGGTCCGAGGCAGGTGTGTGATAGTCTTTGAGCCTTGGGCTTTGCCAAGGGGGAGAGCGGAGAGTTTGTGAACTTGAGCCCTAGCCCGCCCTAAACCCGAAGTCTTCCAAAGGCCCTCGAGCTTCCAAACATGTCCGTTGAGGTAAAGCCGAAACGTATGGTACTGTCTGGTATTATATATCCTCATAAACCCTACAACCGTAAACTTCTAAACCCTCAAACCCCAAACCCTAAACCCTCAAACCCTAAACCCCAAACCCCAAAACCCTCGTAAACCCCAAAAGCCTAAAACCCCTAAACCCTAAACCCTCAAACCCCTAACCATACCATGTTCTTTCCCAATGTATTATACTGTTTTGTGTTGAGTCATCGTGTATTGTGTTATGATGCCCTATGCGGTGTTATGCTCTTTTTCTATGGTATTGGGTTACATTCATAATGCATTGTCTTCTGTTCTGTTCAATTTTCTATGTATACTTATGTAACTCACATGATGTAGGCCAAGATAGCTGCTCAACAAGTGTGCCCTAAACCCTAAACCCGAAACCCTAAACCGGGGATGATTAGCGAGGCCAGACTGGAACGGCCTCGCACACTTCCTCCGATGGCACGAACGCTGCAGCTCGGCAAAGGTTTAGGGTTTAGGGTTTAGGGTTTAGGGTTTAGGGACAGTTGCAGCTTTATCCCGGAACCTCAAACCCTAAGCCACACCGTAAACCCCTCAACCCCTAGCCTGTACAGAGGAGCGCTTGAGCCAGGCTTTCGCGGTTTATGGGCTTATCGCATTCTGATTTCCGTTAGCATTATTGTTTCTTCTTTTTTGCAAACTGCTGCGTATCACGGTGTTGTAGGAGTGCTTTTTTGGGCGCTTTTTGGGGGTACAGGGCAGCAAAATTCTCCATGAGAGCTGAAAGTCTCAAGTCACGCATCAGGTTGCCGCTCCCCGGAGTCCAAACGAATATAGTGGCCTACCCATAGCGCCTTTTTTTAGGAAGTCAAGGCTACCCATAGGCCCCTAAGTAGTTCCTTTTTGGGATTACCTTGTGGGATTCTAAACACAATCCACAAAAAAGAACTACTTAGGGGCCTATGGGTAGGAATCGTAGAATGCGCGTTTGGGGTCTATCATGGTGTAGACTATTCAGGCCCACATATGATACCTTTAACCCTGAACGCTGGTGAGCTTGTGACCCTAAGCCCCAAACGCTAAGCGATGCAGAGGCCTGACGCCCAAAAACCACAACTCTCGATTTAGGGTTTAGGGTTTAGGCGCTAAACTTCATATGCCCTCAGCCTCCAATTGCCCGCAGCAGGCACTTTGAGAAATCTCTAGTGCCCCTAGCAGTCCCAACTGGCAGAAATTCCAAGATGCCGCTCCAGAAATTCCAAGATGCCCTTGTCGACATCCTAATATTCCTGTAGAAATACCAAAACCCTTATGGTACAATCCCAGCAGCCCCTGACCATCCTTACTGAACCCTACCCCCTTTCTTTTAAGCCCCGAAGCCCTACAACTCCCAACCCGAAGTCCCCAAACCCGAAACCCCAAGCCCAAAGCCTAAACCCTAACCCCTAAACCCTAACCCCTAAACCCTAGCCCCTAAACTCTGAACCGCTAAGCCTTAAACCACAAAATCCCGTAAACCCAACAATTTCTTACAACTCCCCAACCCTAAACCCTAAAACCCTAAAGCCCTAAAGCCCTAAACACCAAAACCCCAAAACCCTAAGCCCTAAACCGCTTAAAACCGAGAGAAGTTTGGGATCTTGTTTTTGCCCAGGCAGACCGTGCCCGCCGCTACGGGAACTTCGAGCTCTTCGGGGAGTCTTTTGACTGACGTCCAAGAGAAGCGGAAGCAATGGTACAAACACATACAAAAACTGTAAATGTATGTAGATAGATAGATCTATAGATATAGGTATATGTATGTATGTATGTATGTATGTATGTATGTATGTATGTAGGGCTCAGATCGCCGGCATCAGCGCCGGAAAACTGCGGCCCCAGCACTTTTGATTGGCTGTCTACAGCCCAAGTGCCATTCCGAGATCGCCCGCGTGGCATAGAAGGCTCCGCGCTCGCCGTTCAGCAGCGCGTCACAAATTGCGCCTAGGGCGCCCTATTTCGGCAAGGCAACGCCTTCTCCTGGCTTTTCACCACTCGACGTGCCCGGCTCTGCGAAGCTCCCTGCTGAGTCAATTTATGGGCCGAGGCAAGAAGCAGCCTTACGGACAACAGCCATGGAGACAGCCCACCGCCGGCGGAGACAGATGGCAGGACGGAAGCTACGGATCAGCTGGTGGTGGCTGGTCCTTGTGGCAGGGGTCATGGAAAGCCTCTCCGCGAGCTCACCCCCGACCAGGACGGTCCAGCCAGAACGATTTCCCCGCCTACGACGAAGGTTGGCAACAAGCAGCGGAGGTTATGGAGATGAGCACCTCTACTTCCCTTCCGCGTGCTCCTCCCAGCAGTGCCTCGAGCAGCGGTTTAGTGCACGATGTTCAAAGTGCCATCAACCAAGCCAGAAAGCTGGAAGGCCGACTGAAGAAGCTTCAAAAAGAAGCCTTACAGAAGGGGCGTTCCTGGGACGCGTGGGTATTGAAGATGCGGAACTCGTATGCACGAGAGCACGAAAGGCATCAGAACGAGCAAAGACGCCTGGCGGCAGACATCAAGGAGGCGGAAGACATGACGATGGCCGCCTACTTACAAGTTCAGGACGCAGCCTTCAAGCAGCAGCGCTCCACCAAGGAAGCCATCCCACCCCCCTTGGCGTGGGAGTCTGCCATGGAGGTCGAACAGGAACAGCCGGATATGCCTACGAGACAAGAGCTAGAGAGAATGCTTCAGATTGTGCAAACCCGCAGAGGAGACCATTCGACTCCGCCGCGACCCACTGGTGCTGCACCTCTCACCCCACCTGGGATCTCTCAGGGATATCGTATGGATCTTTCCCCAGGGCCACCTGTCACCTCCGATGGGTACCCTACGCCACCGAGCAGATCCCCGGCGCCCACTTCGGCGACTACAGCAGGACCTGCAGATCCTCGTGCACCCCCAGCAGCAGACCTTCCTTCCAAAGGGCAGAGCGCACTATCTGCGAAGCTTTCGGAAAAGCGAAGATCCATGCGGCAAGCTATGGCCCCCTTTGGGATCGGCAAGAAACCTGCGACAGCTCAGGGCCACGACGAGACCAATACGACATTGGAAGAGGCCGCTCGACCACCGGACCAGGCACTCATCGACGACGATCCGGACGAATTGACTGGAATATCCCCAGGGTTCGGCAGTCTGGAGTGATTCTGATGAGGTGTCATTGGAAGACGGAGTCCTCGGCGGAGACAGACCCGAGGTCTCCCTGTCGGCTGGAGGGCCCTGCCTTGAGGAAGTTATTGGGAACTTCCTCCTCGCTTGTGCCCCCCGGTCAAGACGGGAGCCGCGGTGTCTGCTTCTTCGTTGCGGATCTCCCTCTTCTTCTTCCATCATGGGCTCCGCCTTGTACAGCTTGTATCTGCAGGTGGCTGCCGATTTTCCCTGAACCCGCCTTAGGCATAGGAGGATGTACAGCTTTGCTGTGGCCAGACTCTGTTGCTGTCGAGCCGATGTACACTTCCCGTTGCCGAGATTTTGTGCCTTCTTTCAAACTCCTTCCCCTGCATTGGGCTTCCTGGACCTCTCTGCCTCGCACCCCTAGCTCTGTGTCTGGCCCTTGGGCTTTGGATCTAGGCACGGCGCATGGGGGTTTGTCCTCCGGAGCCTTCAGCACTCCTTTGCATTTCGAGTGTGTGCTGGTTCCTCTGCCAAGGAGTTTTGCATCTTCAGCCTTGGCTCTTCAACCTGGGATGTCCCCTTGGACTTGTCAGGCATCTCTCATCCCTAACGGTCGAGAGTTTTCTTTCGCGCTGGCGCCTAAAAGACGTATCGGTGGCTCTGGGACGTCTGCCAGTCCTCTCGGCATAATTTGCCTTTGTTCTCTCCAGGCCTTTGCGCGGCTGGTCAACCCTTTCTTCATCAGTTTGGTCCTTCTGTCGCTTTTGACCAGCTGCTTTGCCCTTTTCAACTGCCTCTTGCGTATGCTGCCAGCGTCGCACCGTCGGAGCACTCCCTTGTGCTCCTTTGTGCCCATGCATGTGATGCGAGCCTGGGATGTTGGTAGCGCTGGCCTTGCACGGCCACCAATATTGCCATGGGAACCTACGAGGCGATGCGGTAAGGGTCAGGCACTTCACAGGAGGCGGTCCCGAAGACTATTACCGGTGGCCCACCTGGGATTCCTCTTGTTTGGGTTCTCAAATTTGCCTGTATGTGTTTGGGCGATCCCTGAGGATTACAGGAGTGCTGTCCATGCGGTCCATGAGTTCCTTCAGGCATCACCGGATCATTTGCCTTCTGTCGATTCCGCGGAATCGCGGGCACCCCGTGATTCCTTCAGAGATGTAGCTGCAGAAGCCGCATGTGAGGACAACGCCCCTGCCATAATCCCCAAGCATTGCATTGTCTTTCAAGCGGGGTTCCCAGCGCAATACCTACTTGTTTACGAGAACATGCCCTGCACTGAACCGGATTTCCTCCGGGGAGCCTCAGAGTTGACGCTTGCACGCATGACTGACCATGTACTGCACCCAACCGAGCCCCAAATCGCGGCAGGTCTTGCATCGCTGGTTGCTGTTCCTGATTGGATACATAATTCAGACAGGACTGTCTTTGTACTGGATTTCTCGTACTGGAACGGGCCGGTTTTTGCGGTTGCTGATTGGCGGTATGTCTCGCTGACCACGCTAGCTGCCGAAGCTAGGCGCTTCGCTCCAGTGCCTTGGCAGGTCTCTCACGGACGTCAGGACTCCTTGCTCCTACCGGGAGCCACTCTCTTTGCTGCACCAGGAGATGTCTTCCGTTTTACGCCCTGCGACCTGCCATGTGCACCAAAGCTCACTCTTGGCCAAATGCTATTAGATGCAGCATTATGGGACATCAGCCCTCCCTTTATACCCAGAGAAGAAGCCTCCCATGCATGGCTCGTGTTGCGAAGCCATGTTACTAGAACACCCATCTATTCGGGTACCTCTAGGGATGAGCTCTTCCAACTTGCTGCCGATTCCACCCACTCCGAGGTCAACGATCTGCACTTCGGCATGCCTCTTGACGACAGCCCTCTGCAAGAGATTGTTTACCAGGGCCGCTCCTTGCGAGGGGTACTGGCCGCTGAGCCTCGCTCTGGAAATGGGCCTGGACTGGGAGCTTTCGTTTTCGTTGATGCACGACTATTGGGTCTGAACCCCTCCTTCAGATATTGCCCGGCAGGTTGGGTTGACCTGGCATATTTTACGGCTTACCTAGCACTAAAGATCCCGAACGGGTATCATCTTGAGGCCTCAGGAGTCCCGTATGCTGATGGCCAAGTACAAGTTTCCGATCAATGCACCTTGCAGCTCAGGTATGTGCCATGTGACTCAGCAGGCTGTGCCACGCCCCCTGCCCCTGCAGACCGCAACCTCGCAGACTTCGGCCTCTCCCCTGCAGCCGGACGCCCAAATGATGTTCAAAATGATGGACATCCAACTGAATTTAGGAGGGAAGCCCCAGCGACACCCGACCCAACTGTTCTGCTCGAGGTAACTGAGACGGCAACACCTACTGGGCCCTTTCAGCGCTGTCACTTCCTGATTTTTTCAGTAGACTTCCAACCGGAGGCTCTGACGCTTGAGCTCCCGGTGCCTTGCGTGCTCGAACAGGCGATGCAGACAATTGCCGACTCCCGTACTGCAGACATTGCATTCGACTTCGACAATTTGCTACCAGCTTGTCCCCAGCCTGACGATTCTTTTGGAGCCCTATTGGCCTTGCCCGAGTGGTACTCATTAGATGCCATCATCTTGATTGACATCAGGACTATTGATGGACGGATCTTCGCAATGAATACCAAAGGCAGGCTCAACCGCTCCTCGATTCTGCTGCATGCCCAGATCAATGATGGGCCTGACATCCAGGTCTTCTTGCGAGGCGGGCCTGTCGATAGCACTACGTGGTATGAGTTCCACTCTGGTGAGACGATTTTCATCCGGCACCGCGACTCACCTCCCGCACCTGCTGTCTATCTCGATGACATGCTCCAGGACGAACACGACTGGTGTGAAATATGCCCGTTATTCGAAGGGCCGCTGTTTCCGGCCTTCAGGCTCCTTTCTGATGGCGGTCAGCATGTTATCAGAGCTGACCCGGATCAGGTTGCCAGCTTTGCAGATTTCCGACGGCTTGCTAGCCAGCATCTCGGTTTTACCTAATCCGGTTTTCTGCTCGTCTTCGCCGCGAGTCACTGATCTCGCTGTTTGCGGACAAGCTTGCAAAGCCATCCTTGTGGCCTCCGAGAAGGTCCTGCGATTACCGACACCGCCTGGGCGTTTGAGCCTTTATACCCCCATAGCCTTCCTCGGTTGCAGAAGGGTCTTACAGGGATTTTCTTGGATCGCTGCTGAACGGGGTCTCCTTGACCTGGAACAAGTGAGCGCTTCATTTCAGGACACTGCCCCGGAAGGCTACTCCCCGAATGTGCGAGGAGCCGACACTGAGATCAGGCTTGGGAGGCCTTACTTGCGAATTACCTTCGGCACTCTCCTGACTGTCACCTTTGTGGCCAACACGGCTGAGTCTGATGATGATTCTTCCCCCCCGAGCTCTGGACCTAGCACAGACGACGACCATGAGGCCGAGGTACCTCCCAGCAACCCCGATGATGGTGCCATCGACGCCCCCATTTCTTCAAAGCCGCGGGCGAATTCGCACTCTAGGAGCCGCTCCCCCCGACCCACAGGTGCCGGAGAAGCCAACGGGCATGCACTAGTGTGTTATGACATTGTTCATGCAGCGCTACACAGCGCAAAGCCCTGCAACTTCAGCTGGCTTAGCCCCATTCAGGAATTTCTTGAGTGTGGCCCGAACACTCTCCCAGGTATGCCTGAGCCCTACGATGCGGTATCACTTGCGAGTCCGTGCGATGTGCTATCACTGCTGTTTGAGCCTTTTTGGGGTAAGCACAGGGACTTCACTGTCAATCCATGCACGCTGTTCTCCTGTTGCAAGCTGCTTCATGAACCACGGAGCTCCTCGCCCGCTCTAAGCCAGCTTGTTGCAGACCTGCGGCGGATTACCACTCGGCTAGATCAGCCGTGGCGATATGCTGCTGCCGAGGATGACATACAGCTTGCGGATGCTGCAGAGACAGCATCTACCCAAACTGCTTCAAGCGAGGAGCCCACTCTCCTCCATTTTGTTCTGCTCTCCCCCGGCCGCACCGCAACGCATATCGCTTTTCATCATGTTTTGCCTGCCACACTCGATGAGGTACTTGCGCAGACGCAGGCTGAGCGAACACCTGATGATCGCTTGCGCTTCCCCAACGTCGTCCCTGCAAGTCCACAACCATGCCCTGGCTCAGGGGTCTTATTGGCCCTACCTTCTTGGTGTCGCGATGACCCGACAGCCTTGTGCTTCCTGTGCCTTGACCTAACTGCCGTTGATGGGCGGATCCTTGCCGTTGTGAGCCCGCACTATGTCAGCCGCAGACACCTTCTGCATATGGCTGACCTGCCCATTGAGTCCGACATAGCTGTGCATATGAAGGACGACTTCATGCCCTTGCCGGGCAATTTGCAGTACCATGTCGCTACTGGCGACACTTTCCTCTTTCTGCCGAGCGGTGCCGTTGCACCCACCCTGCATGACCTGACTCAAGAGTTGCTCTCGCATAGAGCTTGGAGCCCCATCTTGACAGTGCCTACAGTGTCAGCCGGACAACACCTGTGCTTGGTCCATGAGAATGAGACCATCCTTTTCCAGCCCACTATCGGCTCGCCCACTACGCTTCACGCTCAGATTGCTGCTTGCATCGGTTCAAGCCGGCGTTTCCTTCGGTTATTTCCTTCCAGCCCCCGCGTTACCGACGCTGCACTCCATGGGGTCCCTTGCCGGACTGTCTTATCCGTCTGCTTACCTCCAAGTCAGATGCCTGCACCCTTTCACGGCGTCATCATAGATGCACGAGCCATACTGGCCGGATGGAGAACCTTTCCTGCAATTGCTGGCCGTTTCTCTTGCAATACTGTGCTTGTCGACCTTCAACGGGGCCTCCCTGCAGGATGGAGGACGCGTTTTCTGGACATTCCCCTTGGCGTTGATCTGATCGACACCTCTCCTGGTCAAGTCCTGACCGCTTTTGCCGAGCTTATTCCCAGCCAAGGTGCTGTGACCGCTGCACCTGAGCGCACAGATGCTTCCGGACACCACGCCGCCGAACGTGGAGCTACAGGTCCCTCCCCTGTCCCCGTCGGACAGGCTCCTGCCGGAGACACCCCTACTGGAGGTCCTACACCTGGTGGATACGAGGCCCGCAGAGGCGGACGCGCACCCCACGAGGACCCCCATGCACCGAGGACCGACTCTTTCCTCACCCGTGTATTCTTGGTCCTCGGCCAAAACTATTTACCAGAGACGATTGAAGTGCGGTTGCCCGCAGAAATAACAGTCGAACGTGCTCTGGAACAAGTCGCTGCCGCGCGACACCCCCGGGATGCATACTTTCTGCCAAGCCTCCTTGCGGTCAAGCCACAGCCCTGCTCCTCCCACGCACTGCTGCTCGCGGCACCGGCTTGGCCACCTGCTGGTGCCCTGGTTGCCTTTGATTGCAGACCGGTCGGCGGGTCAGCCTTTGCCCTGCATCTTTTTGGCAGTCTGACTCGTCAGGAACTGCTCCGTGCCGCCCGGCTTGACGCCGACTTCCAAGGTGACATTTATGTCGGCAGCCTACCCTGGGCATTGGCGAAGGGATTGCTATCCCCCTAGCACACGGTGACCTAGTCCTTTTCCAACCACCGCGAGCTAGACTTCATATAGTTGCCGACCTCGCTGACCTGCTGCAATCCTCAGCCGGTTGGCGCAGTGCTTATGACCCAGTAGATGATTTTCCTACACCGGTAGGCCATCACATGTGGATTATCAGTGACCAGGATGCCTTCCTTCTCCAGGTCAGGCCAGACAGGCGCCATCAAGTCCGTTCCGAGGTTGCCGGACTTCTGAGTGTTGATGCTGATAGGCTTCTCATGCAGAGGGCTCACCTGCCTCTCAATGACTTTGCTCATAGAGGTGTCCATACACCGAACATTTTCGCGGTGTCCCGAGAATTACTCGCTGCTGGCGTCACTCGGAATTCACCTCCAACGGTATGCTTTATTGATGCGCGGCCAATCTTGCTTACACTTGATTGGGTCCACTGTCCTCTGGGGACCCTCGACACGGTTTCCCTAGCCATGCGATATGCATCCCGCTGTCCTCTCGGATGGGAGCTCCTTTTGCTGAGATCTGATTTGCGGCGGGAGCCCATCGGGGATCCTATTGCAGTGCAGCCGGGCGAAACCCTCATTGTGTGCTTCAGACCGCTGCTAGGCCCTCCTCTGCCTACTGCACCCCCCCCTGACGAGGGTGGAGATGATGAGGAAGGCCCTGACAGTGGGCCAGGCGACACTGATGCCGGCCAGCACCCCGCCTCGCCTTCCCCCCTTGTTCCCGAGCCCGGCACTTGCGTGCCCCCCGACACTGGGGGTACCTGTCCCACTCACTATGACGCCAGTGAGAAACCAGAGTCATGCAGCACCAGCTTTCTCACACCTGCTACCCACACCATCAGCAGCGCTTCATCCCATCCAGCGAGCGAGGATTCATTGCCAGAGACGCCCATGTGGAGGTTAGGTTTCTCTTGTCACGATGTCCAACCTGTGGACCCCCTTGCCCCCACCCCTGGGCTTCCTCGCATAATCCTGAACCTTGATCTCGCGAAGTGCCCTTCGGACCCTTCGTCAGCCGATGTGCATGGGACTTGTGCCGCTGCTGTCGCGGCACGGGCCATATGGCTGGCTTTCACATTTTTGCCCTGCCGTGTCATTGCCATTTGGCTTGGGACTTGGTTGGCCCGGACACTGTGTTCTCTGTGCCTGACTGACCTCGTGACATGGGCTCCTCGCCGAGCTTTTTTACTCAATGCCCTGCGCGTAGCCGTTGTATGGGTTGCAGCGAGGGCTGTTGGCCCCTGGCACCGGCCTTTTCGCCGCGCTCCTTCCATCTCTTGCATCCCATATGGAAGGATACAAGACGCCCGATTTTCGATTGAACACTCCCCTCGCTTCTGTCGGGGCCGGCGGACATGTTTATTCCTCGTGCTCCTCCTTTTCAGCGATGCAGCGGGTGTTCAGATCTCTGGTACGGGCAAGGCGGGCCACGTCCCCTCACCGGAGGACCCTGCCCACGAGCATTTCCCGGTTCGCGAGCTCATGTGTGACACTATGCTTGATTTCAATGCACACGCTGCGTCGAGTCGACCTGCCAGGCCCCTCATTACGAGGCATATCCCAACACCCTGCAGGAATGCAGCGTCCCGTGTTGCTGCACTGAGATTCCCCCTGCACCCGTGCAAGGCCCCTGCGCTCCCTGACACAGTGGCGGAGACACCGCAGGACGACTTGAGCTTGCTTCCAACCTTGCTCGATCTTGCTGCAGCCGACAGCGACGATTGGGCTTTTTTGGCAGTCACTCTGCTTGAGACCCTCGCTGAGCATGAGGAGGAGACACGATTGCTTTCAGACACCAGCATTCCACCTCCCTGTCTCGGTCCTCCTCTGCCCTTGGACTTGCTGGTCGCTACGGACACCAGTAACTGGCGCCCTTCCGCGCAGCTTGCTGCGGGCAGTCCATTTGGCCAGCGTTTTCGCCCGATGATTACTGATTTTGAGCACCAATTGCACATTGGAGGCACACCTCTACATCTCTCCTGGGACGAGGTACTCACCCTTCTTGGCGCACCGGCTGCCTTAAGCCCTTGGCCTGAGGTCTGTGCACTCTTCAAAGACGTCTCCTTGCTTAGGGAAGCGGTACCCTCGCACCTTCGAGATAACTGCTGGGAAGCCCATGCTGCTCCCAACGAGAAAGCCGCTTGGTGCTACACGGACGGATCCTTCACTCCCTCGTCCGCTGACAAGCCATGTCTCTTAGGCTGGGCAGTGCTTTTCTTTATCCCCGAGCACGGGGAAACCCTGTGTGCTTGGGGAGCTGTGCCCCCCGAGCTGTTGGGGCCAGTGACACAAGCTTCGGCTTTCGTTGCTGAGTGTTATGCGCTCCTTGTCGGAGGACTGATAGGCGTTAGTACCTTCAGCGCGCACCGCTTGCATTTCCTCTCTGATTGCCAGTCCGCCCTGACTGTCGTATCTGGCCTGTCTACTTGGGCGCCCGGATCTCTAGCGGAAGCCGCGGCTAACATGCACTCCTTGCGCCGGCTTGTTGCTGAGTCACAGGACTGTTATGAGTACGTTCCCGGGCACTCTGGTGTCGCCCCAAACGAGGCTGTAGACTTCCTCTCCAAGCAGGGTGCAACATGTGCCCCTGGGTCTTGTGGTCTGAATATATCCGCTGAGACCCTGTTGGCCTGGTTGAACGAAGGAGCCCCTCGGTTGCCGTGGGTCGGTGTTGCAGTCAGGACTCTCATCGGAGACCCACAGTACCCCCCACTGAATACCCTAAGTCTCGGCCACAACAATTTCCATGGGCATCTCACGACAGCGGATCTCATAAGGCCCTTTGCCCCTCCAGACGCCGTTGATCCTCCACCCGACCACGGTGCCCCTGGTTCTCCCCACCAGGATACTGCACATCACGGCTGTGTAACCATGTATCTTGTTGTTGCCACTTACAACACCCTCTCTCTCCTGGGAGAGACTGAGCGAGCGGTCCCCGAACCGCAGAACACCCGATCCCGCAAGCATGTAGTCGGCCGTGCCGCCGTGCTGGCTGAGACCCTTGCGGAGCATAATGTACAGATAGCTTTTCTGCAAGAGACACGATGTCAGAAAGGACACTCCCGCTCTGGAGGGTACCTGCGGTACGCATCAGGGGCCAGCAGAGGCCAATGGGGCACTGAGATCTGGTTACAGGCTGATTGTCCGGTTTTCAGCCTTTTGCGCGGTGGATCTGCCAAGTCCACAATCACAGCTCATACTGTCACTTCCCTCCACACAGACCCGAGGCGAGTCATCCTTCGAGTATGCATCAGGCCAATATCTCTCCTGTTGGTTTCTGTGCACGGCCCTCATCGTGCTACTGAAGGGCCGATGATCACCGCCTTTTGGGAGGAGACGCTCCGACTTGTGCTTCATTTCCACAAGAATGATTTCCTGATCCTAGGTGGGGACTGCAATGCCGCTGTCGGGTCTGTTCGATCTGATTCCTTCAGCGATCATGCTGCCGAGCCCGAAGATACCGCTGGCGCTGCTCTACATCATCTGGCTCATCTTCTTGATCTCTGGGGACCGTCCACCTTTGCTGAACGGCACTCCGGGCCAACCCACACCTATGTGCAGAAGAAGAGCGGACGGCTTTGTCGACCTGATTATGTCCTTCTTCCTGCGAGCTGGGAAGTCGGCCAGGTCCACTCGTATACCGCCCCAGGCATACATGCAGCTCAAGAGCACCAGGATCACATTGCTGCTTGCGCCGAGATCCAACTCACCCTCGGACCTCACAGCTTGTCACCCTCAGTTCGCCGACGAACCTTGCGCGGTCAGGCCCTTGCTGATGCTGATGTTCGCGACCGAGTCCGCGACATCATCGATTCTATGCCACCTATTCCGTGGCAAGTTTCGGTGCATGCTCATGCCGCCACCCTGACTGCACGCCTCCAGAAGGGATTGAGTGGCATTTCACAAGCCCGAGGACCCAGACCCAAACATGCATACTTACGCGAGGGCTCTTGGGATTTGCAGCGAAGGCTCAGCCGTATTCGACGAGCCCTAAGCCGCAGGCAGCACTTGCTACGACGGCATGCCTTGCTGGCTTGCTTCAAGGCCTGGATTCATGCTTCCGTCGATTGGGCTGAAGAGTTTCTAGAATGTCCATGGATCCAACAGCTCCGGGTCCTCATTGCAACACAGATGCTGCACATGCGTAAACTTGGCCAACTGCTCAGAGACTCCCGCCGCCGCGACCGGGCAAATTTCCTTGAAGACCTCGCGGACCGCATATCATCCGGGCCTTGCAATGAAGTCTTCGCGGCTTATCATCGGCTGCTTTCCCACCGACGGAAAAAGCCATACCAGATTGAGCCGCTGCCCACCATCATGGATGCACAGGGCAACCCATGTCTCGACATGCAGTCCCGCTTTAAGCGTTGGCGGGATCACTTCGGCGCTCTCGAAGCTGGAGTTGAGACCACCTTCCAAGCGCTTGCTGATGCACTTCCACCAGCCGGCCAGGAGGCCCCGGCGGCTCCACATCCAGCCGATATACGCCAGGTGCCTTCCCTGTCCCTGGTACAGCGAACCCTGGCAGCGACTAAGGCTGGCAAGGCTCCGGGCATGGACACGCTCCCGCCGGAACTTCTTAAAGCGTTCCCCGCGCAGCTGGCTCCTCACATTCTCCCCTTGTTGCTTAAACAAGTGTGGAGGGGGGAAGAAGCCGTAGGCTTTAAGGGCGGGGCCACTGTGTTTTTTCATAAGAAACGCGGGCCCCAAGAGGAGTGTGGTTCGTACAGGGCGATTTTGCTCATGTCCTCGCTTGCTAAGACATGCCATCAATGCCTGCGACCTGCGCTCAAGGAAGTCTTTACCAGGCACACTTCTCCTCTTCAGATGGGCGGGCGGCCAGGTTGCTCAGTCACATTTGGGTCTCATCTGCTCCGCGCAGTTACCGCCCACTATTCTGCGTTGGGCATATCCAGTTACATCCTTTTCGCTGATATTGCGAGCGCGTTCTATTGCACTGTCACTCAGCTGGTTGCGGCTTCAGGCACTGGCGAGCAGGAG